AAAAAAAAAAAACAAAGTGCAGTAACTTACCATTTAATTGATAGTTGAGAGGATGAAAATGAATGTGTGTGTGTGTGTGTGTGTGAGAGAGAGAGAGAGAGAGAGAGGAAATGAAATTGAGACAACCACTTCTTGTGAAGAACAGGAGAAACCACACCTCTCAGCATGCCATTGTTGGTGTCAATCTCTGCCCCATTGAAAGCCTGGACTATGAGTTTGTTTCCTTCCCTCCTCTTCTCATTTTCTTTCTCTTTCTCTTTGTTGTTGTTGTTTTTGTTTTTCAATATTATTTTTCCCTGTTTGCTTGTCCAGCCAGACAATGGTCATATTGGATTGATTTATCATGGGTTAACTTATTTCTTCCATTTCCAAAAAGTGTTCTTTGGATCTCATTACATGATTTATTTTTGCTCCCCAACAAATTAGCTAGAAATTGGAGAAACATAAAGAAGTGATTTTGAAACTTGTTATGTTCTGGCATCCCAGAAAATGAAGAAAGCAAACTTTGAAGCCTTTTCTGTTTAATGAAGAAAGCAAATTTATAAACTTATACCGCACCGAATTTCAGTACAGAGCTTTTGTGGATTTAAAACTTAATTGTTAACAATCTTGTATATGTTGCCTCACTGATTTATCTCAGGTTTCTTGTAGAATTATCAAGAATGATCTTTTTAAGCAGGACTGGAGGTCTAGAACGAGGGTTGAGATCCTTCAGTATGTTTCCCTCAAATGGACACTTGTGCTCCTTATTGGGCTAAGCACTGGGTTAGTTGGGTTTTTCAATAACCTAGCTGTTGAGAACATAGCTGGTTTCAAACTTTTTCTTACCAACAACCTCATGCTTCAAGAAAAGTAAGCCTAGCTTCTATTGCATTAGTACTATCTGAGTTTCAATACAATGTGCCCCACCTCCTTTTTTTATTTTTATTGTTCCAGGTGCATCCATCTGCGGGTTTTGTTTTATGGGATAACCTAATCGTTGTAGTTTATCGAACCATGACATTGATAACATGGCATACTTGTAATATATATTTTTGAGTAACTATGATGTTATGTTAACTCCAGTGCAGGTATTATCAGGCATTTGCAGCATTCGCTTGTTGTAACATGGTCTTGGCTGCTGTTGCTGCTGCTCTTTGTGCCTATATTTCCCCTGCAGCAGCAGGCTCTGGCATACCTGAGGTTAAAGCATATCTCAATGGTGTAGATGCTCATTCTATATTGGCTCCAAGTACCCTCTTTGTAAAGGTGAGTAGCAGAAAGCAGTTCTCTTTTCCGCTCTTTCTTTTTATCTATCACTCACACTATTAAGAAATTTTTATGTCCAGTAAATACGTAAAAGTTCGTGCGAGTGTTTGACATTTCATATTCATATTATGTGAACAATCAGAGTAGAGTCACAAAAACATTTCCCATATTTTGGACGTCAAATGATATCGCAAATGAAACACTGCTACATTATTTGGGATTTGGTTTTGGTGTCTCTAACAATACTCACTTGTAAAATGACCTCAGAGGGATATAGAACTCTAAATGTTAGAGAACGAGAGAGAATAATTCTTCTCTGATTTATCCCTCTGAATTATACAGCTGTTTATACAAGTAGATTATAATTGTGAAAAAACACCTGGTTACAAAATCAAGGGCTAATTAGCTCCTAAGTTTCAGCAAGCAGATGATAGCCTAATTACAATCTATCAATCGTAATCACAGATAATTAGATCAATATCAATTAATATCTTCCAACACAATATTTCTAGTCAAGTAAATTACAAGGCCTGTGTGTAACTGTATTATTAGTTTCTTTTACTGCTATTGCTCATTGGTAGTTAAATTTTTGCCACTTGTTTAGATAGTTTCTTACACTAAAGTTGTGTAAGTACTACAGATATGCTAAAGATGGTTGCGTAAAGCTGACAAGGTATTTAAAAATTTATTTTGTAATAATTACTTAGTCTCAACTTGGCAGATTTTTGGTTCTGTATTTGGAGTAGCTGCTGGGTTTGTAGTGGGTAAGGAAGGACCTATGGTACACACTGGCGCTTCCATAGCCTCTTTGTTTGGACAGGGTGGCTCTCGCAAGTATCATTTGACCTGGAAATGTCTCTGGTACTTCAAAAATGACCAGGACCGACGGGATCTGATTACCTGTGGTGCTGCGGCTGGTGNNNCTCCAGTTGGCGGTGTCCTTTTTGCACTAGAAGAAGCAGCTTCATGGTATATATCCTTTTCACATAGATTTTTTTAACGTCACATGCAACTAGGGATATATAACTATTTTTAGCTTAAAAGAGCAGCTGTCTTTTTTTGTTTCGCAGTGTAATAATCTATTGTACGAACTTTAGTATTTCATCAGATTGAGGTATATTACTTTGTCGACATTTTCTTCTTTCCTTCTATTCTGGCTTGGAGTAATTTTTGTCTTCATTTATCACAAGGTGGAGGAGTGCTCTTCTCTGGAGGACATTTTTCACAACAGCTGTTGTAGCAGTATTGCTAAGAGGTTTCATAGAATTTTGCAAGGGTGGTAAATATGGACTATTTGGCGAGGGAGGCCTTATCATGTTTGATGTCAGTTCAGCAAAGGTGGCCTATAGCAGCGCTGATCTACTGGCAGTCATATCCGTTGGAGCCATTGGAGGCATTTTGGGAAGCCTTTACAATTTCCTTGTGGACAAAGTCCTTCGAACGTATAGCATCATAAATAAGTATGCTTTGAAATTTCAATTTATAAGATGGTTAAATTTGTCATTATAATAGAACACTATAGCCACACACAAGAACACATAAAATTGATGTGTAAAATATTTTCATCATGTATAAGCCAAAAATTTGCATTTCGTCTTCTC